GGTACAGAAGAGTATATACACACAATTTATTTGTGGTTTTTTAAGTGTATTTTGATATGTGAGTGTATATGTGCATTTTATTCCTGCTAATATATGGATTTAAAAAAAACAACATGGAAAGATATAAACCACACTGTTAATGTTATAAAGCCTAGGCTATAGGGGGTAATAGGTGAGTTCATTTTTGCTTTCAATTTCTAAATTATTTAAAAGTATTCACATTAAGCACATTTTACTTTTATGAATAGCAAAAACATGAAAGATGGTGTTGAGGGGAAAATGCATCATAGAAAGTGGTAAGCAGCGGAAGAGAAATCCTTAGAAATACTCAGGCCCAGAGAGGGATAAGAGCTGCTTTAGGCTATAGAGAAGAACTTGTCAATCTTATGGGAGGGGAGGCACATGAATTTGACCTTGAAGAATCAGTAGGTATGATCAACACATGGTAGTTCACACTGGAGTATCTTTCTGCATATGAAGCATATGCAAAGAGTTACTCTCAAACTGACTTCCTTCTCCTAGCCAGCTCACCACAGGTCACTTTACCCAGAAGTTAAATGTGTCGACAAATTTGTCTTGTAATATATGCGCCATCCTATTTTGTCATTACAGGTAAGAGTTGAGTGGGTTTATAAGGAGGGGCATTAAGTGGATTTTATTATGACTCTTACGATTATCTTCATATTTTTTGGCCCTGGGCCTCCCTTCTAAGGAAATTGGAAGGTAAGCCACAATTTGTTCAGTGTAGCATTAATTATTATAATAAAAAACTGGAATAGTTCAAATAACAAAAATACATGAGTGAGTAGAGTATGTGAATGGATATTTCACAGCCTTAAAGGTGTCTATAAGAAATTTTTAATGACTTGTTGGAAGCTTATGATAAGTGTAAAAACAAAACAAAACAAAAATGAAAAAAAGAAGTCTGTTTGGAGCCTCCATATGTCAAAACTTCCTAGAAGAGGCTGAAGACACAGGTCTTCGTATCAGCACTAACAATCCAACTTCCTTGGTTATCATATGGTCAGGAGTTTGGGACAAAGGAGACTTTTAGTCATCTTTTGGGTTATCTCCGATTAAGATGGTATTCTGTCAAAGATTTCCTGCAATAAATATTAGGCACTAGGGCCACCACATGCAGCGCTAGACCAACAGATAAACAAGGGTGAAAAAGGAGTCTATGCCCGGGGGCTGCTGGGAGTTACCAAGTCTGGGTGTAACTTGCACACACTGGGGAGAGCCCACATCCGTTCCTGATTGGAATTCCAGAATTTAATTGAAACTAAAGCAAACGGGAGGTTTTGACTTCTCCCACCCACAAGGTGGTGGTGGGACTATTCTCATCAGAATGCCTCGTTCCCATCTGGAAATTCGAGACTCAAACATATGGATAGAAGCTCTTTCCTCCTGGGAAAACCACATCCACGTTCAGGGAGCAGCAACCCACGAGTATGGTCCCACGCAGACCATAGAATAAACGTTTATGGAATAACCAAAGGAGACTTGCATTGAAGTAAGTGCCAACCACAGTAGGACCCTGTCTCCTGGGGCTTGAAATTCTGTACTTTGGGAAATCTAAGTGTGCAGATGTTTGCACTTTTGATACTCGTGTCCGTGGCTATGGACATTGGCTAGCCTTGGGTCTTGCAGCCCCGGAAAGATGAATAAAGGACCATGACAACCTTTTGTTCCATAGTCTACCGCTGGGCTTCCAGTCACCTGCTGGCTGGTGTTGACCTGTCCACCTGCCCCTGCCTGACTGAGGCAGCAGAGGTGATGAAGGCTGGGGGGCGGGCATGCAGAGGGCAGGAAAGGCAGGCAGGGCCTTGGGCTGCTTTGAGGAGGCCTTCCCAAGACTTCGCACCTGTTTTCTGCTCTTCACACCCTTCTCATGCCCTTCTTTCTACACCAGTCTGTGCACAGTTCAAGGGTAACTGCCCTCCGCAACTGTGGCCCAATTTACCAGTGACCTTCATCTAGCCTCATCCCCCCCCCCCCCGCGTCTTTTTCCATTCTTTCTTTGAAACAGCCTTATCTTGAGACTTTTGTGACTTTGTAAAGATAGGGTTTCTGATGATCACAAGACCACTAATCTCCCAACTATGTAATCTCCCAATCTATGGTTTAGATTTGTTTTGAATCGGTATTTAGGGGCGGGGTGGGGTAGGGCGCCTGGGTGCCTCAGTTGGTTAAGCGTTGGACTCTTGATCTCAGCTCAGGTCTTGATCTCAAGAGTTGTGAGTTCAAGCGCTTTGTTGGGCTCCACGCTGGGCGTGGAGCCTACTTAAGAAAAAAAAAAAAAAAGAAAGAAACAAGATTTGGGCCCAAGCTTAACTAGGTAAAATGATGAAATGATCTCAGATGTGGAGATTGGTTCAGGAATATGCCTCGTCTATTTTTAAACTGAAAATGTGAGGTGAGGGGGAAAGTGTGACCAAGTAGTGTTCTGTGTTTTTTAATTTGCTTTGGGAATAGTATAATAAATTTGTCATTTTCTAAATCTGGATTCTTCATGGCCTATTTTAAATCCTGGGTTGGCTCCTGACAGGCCAATTCTCAACAGGACCCTGGGTTGACTCCCCTCCTGTCTAGTCCTGGTATGGACAGGAAAAACAACCTTATTTTAATAGCAGCTTCCATTGATTTTTAAAGTAAGTCAACTGTGAGAATTCTCATTTTCTCAAACAAAATTTTTGTACTTGGATCCTGTGTATTAGTCTGGTTGTGTATGAGTCCGTTAAATGGGGATGGTAAATGGGTTTTAAGCACCTTATTCTTGGCCTGCTGTTTTTACTATAGAAACCAGGAGAGACCCTTCAACCACCCTAGATTTTGTTTAAAATGCCTTTTAAAAAGTGCCTGTCCCGGATGGGTCACGCGTCACCTCCAGATCCTTGAGACCTCCACGTTCCTTTGGACATGGGAAGCCTGGAAGTGTGACCAGCCCCATGGCTGAAGACCACACTACCCCAGGTCCTGCCTTTCATCGGGGGCCATCAGGCTCTCCAGGAGCGCCAGCATCAAAGCCGGAGGTGTTCAGTGCTCCTGATTGGGAGGGATCTGAATGCACAGTTCCCTCAGGTGCTGGTTGATATGCTTGATGGTGGAATGAAAGCCAAATAAAGGAACAAGAGATCCTGTTGATTACCTGTTTTCAGTGCTGTTCCTTGGGGCCCTTCTGTATCTAGGGAAAATTTGTGAAGACTATGGTTTCACCTGAGTAGAAGACACAGCGCCTATTTCCTATTAACTCTGGGGCCCACGGACTGTTGGCCTCAGGCAAGGGGGTCTGTGCCCCTAAGAGCCTTTTGGAGCAAGGTGATGCCCCCTGGCCTCAAACTTTCTCACTGGGCCATCATGTCCTCTCCCGCTGGAGGTGGGTGATAGGGCCACTGTGGCTCTTTCTTCATTGCTCTGGACAGTCCCCTGCCTCTCCATTGAGTGGCCAAGATTGGGAACTAGAAGGGACCCTAGTGGTAATAACTGGCTTCCTCCTCCTCTTACAGGTGGGGAAACTGAGACTGGGACTCAGATTCAGTGACTTGCCTACCATTGGCAACTTGTCAGTCCCGACTGCAGCTTGCTGGTGAGGCAGTGGGGTGGGATGGACAAGCGGTAGAAGGGACTTGAAATTGAGTCTCAGTTCAACAAGAAAGAGTCCCAGGGGAAGAAGGACAGCTTCTGCAGCACAGCACACAGGGCTCCCCGGGCTCATTAAGTTGCTGGGGACTTTGCAGTATCCGGAGGATTTCACAGTCCTGCGTCTTTGGTACACGGTGCAGGGACTGGTCTGGTAAAAGCTGTGGGATAAGACTGCCCTCTAGTGGGCTTGTGAAGCCATTGGTCCAGCTGCTTTCACATCTCCTTAGGTTCGGTGTTGCCTTCTTATGCTGCCTCCCCGTAGTGATTATTTCCTCAGTAGGAATGCCTTCAATTCAAATGTTATTCTTTGTCACGCATTCTGGCTCATAGAGTTGATCTCTGAACACCAGCCATTATTTGCCCATCTTGTAGGAGGTTTGGCGTTTTATTTTGTTGTTGTTGTTTCTCCCCCACCTTAGAGGTATCTTACTTCTCTAATAAAATTCACGTTCCTAAAAGCAAGGGTTATGTCTTATGTCTTGTGCTTCCACAGCTTTCATCCTGTTGTCTGCTTAGCTGGACATGAAATTAGAAGGTTCGCTGGGATAGAAAAGAATCCTCCCTCAAAACAGAATCCCACCACTTTACATTTGTTCCTAAAACATCCTCATCTCAGCTCTCTGATCCAGAGTTCCCCAAGTGGTTGAATCATCTGAATCCCTCAGAAAACTTCCAGAACTCCGTTTCCTGGGCCTTCCTCCAGCCCTGCTGAATCAGTCTCTGTGGTTTGAGCCAGGAAATCTGCTTTACAAACTTCCCAAGTGGTTTTTGATGTGTAGCCAGGTTTGTCAGCCAACTGCTCTAAATCCCCATTTACAATTTTTTTTTCATAGCTGACAGCATCTCCAAAGGTTTTCAGCTTATGTCAGTTATTAAAATTGACCATTTTGAGATTCCTTTGGAAATATTTGGTGTGCTGTTCTAACTGCAGTCCTGGCTGACATGGGAAGGAAGAAGGACCACAAGAGAAGGACCAAAGGCATTTACTTGGGTTGCCAGGGGCTCTGTGTTCACAGCAGAAAATACTGAAACCAATACCTTCGTGCTGACTGGGCAGGTCGTTGATGTGTTTTTAATGTTTGGCCGGACAGGGAGACAGAGGTTAATTGAGTACCCAGTTCCTAATTTTCACCTATTCTGACTCGTCTGGTTCTCAGATTAGCCGTACAATGTAGGCGGCATTGTCCCTTTTCTTACAGATGGGAAAGTTGAGGCTTCGGGAAGTTAGTAACTTGCCCAGAGTCCTGGAAGTTGATGACTGTCAGATTCTGCATTCGAATACAGGTCTGATTTCCAAGGCCAGCTTTGGCAAGGTAAGAGGACCAAGAGTGCCAACCTGTTCTTTTTAACTCTGCCAGGCCAAGCGGGCGGTGCAGCGGGGAGCTACTGCGGTCATCTTTGATGTGTCGGAAAACCCAGAAGCTATTGACCAGGTAAACCGCGTGGGGCACGCGGCGTGGCCATCCCCCCGACAGAAGCACTGTTAGTTAGCTGGGCTCGTCACAGGGGCATCCCCCTCGCCTTGGGGCTCGGCACTTGTCTGCTGACGCTAGAAACCCATGTTTAGACATCATTCCTACTCCGAGGCAAGGGTATTGAGTAGGCGTGAAGAGCCAGGAAGTTGGTGGTTGGGGGGCATCTTCAAAGACCCTTCTGGGCCTTCAGCCTGCCCAGTCCGTCCTAAAACAAGCATCATTCTCCGCCTTGTCCTTCAGAAGCTCCAAGGCTATAATGCTTGAGGACTTTGAGGATTTTCAAATGGCATTTGCTGTTCTTTTCCTTCAGCCTCTCTCCGCCTCTCTTGCTTCTTAAAGCAAGAGCATCTTTTAACCAGAACCGTCTTTTCTTCCTCAGCTAAACCAGGGCTCAGAAGACCCGCTCAAGAGGCCAGTGGTGTACGTGAAGGGTGCAGATGCCATCAAGCTGATGAACATTGTCAACAAGCAGAAAGTAGCTCGAGCGAGGATTCAGCACCGCCCCCCTCGAGTGAGCCTCGACGGGCACCCTCTCTGCTGCTCCCTGTGCCTTTATTCCCTTTGGGCTTTGGGCTTTTGTTCCTGTCTTCTTTCTGTGTCAAATGCTGATACAGCCTAGGTTCCTACAGTTTAGATCAGACGTAAGGCTGGAGGCGAAGGAGAAATGTTACCCATGTTTCTTTATTTTTTAAAGATTTTATTTATTTATTTGAGAGAGAGAGTGTGCACGAATGGGGGGGTGGGGCTCAGAGGGAGAGAGAGAGTCTCAAGCAGACTCCACACTGAGCGCAGAGCCTGATGCGGAGCTCGATCTCACTATCCTGAGATCATGACCTGAGCCAAAATCAAGAGCCAGACGTTTGACTGAGCCAGCCAGGCAACCCCCACCTGTGTTCCTTTAGAGAGGATTCGAAAAGACCTTCCAGAAATAGATGATTTTGTGCTAAAGCGTCTCTAGTCTCTTCCACCCGGCATTCCCTCTTGGTAGCCTCCTGTCCTTCTTTCTCTTCTGTCCTGCCTCCCTCTGAAAGGCTGAGGAGGATTGAAGGAAGGAGTACCCGGCTTCCTGTGTCCCCCTCCTTCCATATGTCCCAGACTAGAGAAAAAGGCCTGTACTTTGTTTTTCCCGGAGGGTAAATTGCATTATTGAAAACCCCTAACTTAGTGCTCGCTTCAGCAGCCCACATACTGAAAACCCCTAACTTATATTTGAATCTGGAACACTTAGCTTTCAACTAGGATTGAAGTTTATGCCTTGCAGGTGGTTGATGAAGGCTTCTCTTGAGCATGTCAAAGGGACACTGCTGGCCATTGACTCTTAACTGGCATCTTCTGCCCAAACCTCAGGCTGAAGGTTCTGGGAACCTGGGGCAGGTTTTATATATATATGTGGTTTATTTCCATATCACAAATATTCACATATAGGATGATTCTTTTGCACGCACAAAATATCTAGATACCCGCAGCATTCTATTAGCAAAACTCTATTCTTCTTGGCTAACTGCATGTCCTAGATGAGATGGCTTCAAGATTTTTGGAGGCAGTGTGTCCTGAGGAAAAGATAAGAACTCAAAGTAGAAGGGATTTGCAGAAGAACTGCCTTTGCTGGCTTCTTTTTAAAGGAAAAAAGAGCGCTTTGGTAAATGTGACTCATTGTAGTGGAAGCTGATATTTGTGGAAGCAGCATACAATTTTCTGAGTTGTTGTACACCATTAATTATATGGTTAGTAATCACTGTTCCCTCAAAACATGACACTCACTCCTTTGTCCCATAAATATGATATTTGTGTTTATTTGGATGGGCCTCTCATGCCGGTTACAGCGAACTTTGCGCTCTTCCATGGGGAGCTAGGCGTTCTGACGCGTGTGCTCTTGGCCGAGAGGAGGCCCGGCTGAGACTGCAGCAGGCCTCCCCCTAGCCACACCGTGGGGGGCTGCCTGGGCCCGGAGAGCACAGCACGTGTGCAGGTTAGCAGAAGCCCAGGTGTTGCCTGCAGACGAGGGGAGAGACACACCCGAGTTGCCCCAACCTTATCCCAACCCGTGTGCCGATCCCCAGGCTGAAGAGACCTGTGACTCATCGTGTCTGTGTTCTGTTCCAGCAACCCACTGAGTACTTCGACATGGGGATTTTCCTGGCGTTCTTCGTCGTCGTCTCCTTGGTCTGCCTCATCCTCCTTGTCAAAATCAAGCTGAAGCAGCGACGCAGTCAGGTAATACCTCGGAGCTGCCCACCAGCGCAGGTGCCCCGCCGCCTGTCCCTCGTGGAAACCAGGGTGGGGGCCCGAGCTCCACAGCCTGGTCCTGGTGACCTGGGCGCGGCAGAGATGGAGGAAAATGAGAGCAAAGCTTATCACCCTATGTCTTCTCTGTTCCAGAAGGGCCAGAACCACAAAGGCCGAGCACTGGGAGGGCTTCCAGCTAGGGGGTTTTCTCACAAAATGCCTCAGCGTTCACGCGGAGCCCTAGAGCCTTGCTCCTCAGATATGACCCGGGCAGTATCCCCTGGGAGCTTGGTAGAAATGCAGACCCTCAAGCCATACTCCAGACCTGCTGAGCCGGAAGCTGCATCTTCCAAGCTGTCTGGACGATTCCCAGTAAACAGAGTAGCCCCTTTCGTGCCCCAGTGGCACATCACCGTGCTCGTAGGAGGGCAGGTTTGGGGGCAGAAGTTGATGGCGGGGGTAGGTGGGAATCTAGACGTGCCCCGTGTAGCGTGACCTCTCAGGAGACACAGTGGACGCCGACAGGCAATCTGTCGGGAGGATCGCCCACTGCTCGCCAAGTGAGTGGCCATCACCAGCCCAACAGAGCAGTGGCTGCGTTTGGCCAGCACCCGGGCGCGTTCTCTCATTTGCCCTCGGAACTTTCTTCAGGGTAAAGAGGAGGAACCCGAGGGCGCCTGGGTGGCTCAGTTGGTTAAGCGACTGCCTTCGGCTCAGGTCATGATCCTGGAGTCCCGGGATCGAGTCCCGCATCGGGCTC